GTATAATTGGCCTATCCCCTCCCTACAAAATGAGTCCATTTTTTTGGAGTCATTTTGTAGGGATGGGACGTTGGTCGCTGACATTTTGTAGTGATTTTTACTACCAAATAGGGACCCCGACCCCTCACCCTAAATATCAACGGGGATTGTGTATGTATATATAGCAACTGTTCTTTATCGCAATCGCTGATTGTGATTCCTATGTTGCAAGACACGATTCCCTTTTGAATGCGATCTACAACAGTGGAAGGTACTTTCTTGCAACACCATTTCATCAACGCAGATGGTCAGTGGGCTCCTCAACAATCATCAGAGTAAACTGTAGAGAACTTAGAGAACTCATCCCTTTCAAGATATGAAACTACAAAAGGATGCAATGATTGAAGACTTGTCAGCTCACTTCCGCTCAATGAGAGCGTAACATCCTAACGGGTGACACCAAAAAGATACGATGGAGGTGATATTTGAAGGAACACATGTTTACTTTGATATTTGAAGGAACACACAAGGATCATCGAGGTTTTGAACAAGGATGAATGAAGGTGATGCTGAAAATGCGGGTGTCCTTTTTGGTGTTTTTGTTGAACAGCAAACCAACAACAAAAGGACACCCTTTAGTGGTACCAGTTGTGCTTGTGATGCTGGTTTTGCGCCTTGCATTTTTAACATGCCTTGGACACATGTTTACTCAACCACATCCTTTTGGCTAAGATGAAGATATTAGATCGATACATATATGAACAAAGATTGACTGCGGAAGTTTGCACATGACTTTCTTTCTTCCTTCCTTCTTTCTTTCTTCCTTTCTTTCTCTCTCTCTCTCTCTCTTTCTTTGCTTTAGTCTTTTCTATAGGCCCTCTTGGTTCCTTAGCCTTTTTCTGGGAACGCCGAGGTAGACCGAATGTATGCCTTTCAAAGCTTTAAGATAGAGTTCACCCGACACGTTTGAACAGCGAAGGAGTCATGACAACACATGACAACACACCGATGCTGAACATTGTTTAGGAAGCTACAAACACGCCGCTCATCTCTCTGGAGACTCTGAAGGACAAACAAACTTTGTATTCAACGATCTGAGGAAACGTGCTTAGCTAGCGGGCTTTGACCCTAGATAGCTGAGCAATCGCAAACAAATCTGAGTGTTCACGTGCCTTCCCTCCCCAGCTCCCGACGCAACGGTCGTTTTCGTTGTGGAAAACGGTTGCCGAATCTTCGATCGATTGGCGCGCAATGATGGGTGAATGATGCATCCCCCGAAGAGAGAGAGAGAGAGAACAGATCCTGGTCATGTCTATGTTCACTGTGGTGACCCCTCGACAGAAGAACTTTCGGTGAGGTTTAAATAAGTACAATAGCGCTAGCAACGTAAAGCCCAATGCTTTTTGGAGGTCTCACATGTTGACCCAAAAAGCAGCACTGGCGCCGCCCCGCCATGGTTTGGGACTTTGGTTTGAAGAAGACACGAATTTCTTGGACTTAATGGCATCACTTACCCACAAGTCCTAGGTAGCCACAGACTACTGTAATAGTACCAACCAGCTGGGCCATTGGCGGGGACCCGTGTTCCTTTTTTTTAACGTGACGTACGGGTGACCTTCGAGGAGTCCGGGCACCCGCTGGGGTCGGCCAGTCCTTGGGATCAGTCGAAGGGAACTCCGACGTCTTGTTTTGGTCCACATGTTGTTTTTTCCGAAGTCTTTTTTGACTCGTTGCCTTCTAGTTGTATCATCACCCCCCTTGCTTACTACTACTACTACTACTACCACCACCACCACCACCACTACTACTACACAGGGTTCGGATTTTGTTGTTTTGAGCCATTTGGAGCCCCTCTGCGAATGATGGTCTTCTGCACAAGGGCCCTTAAAGGCAATCCAAGGGTTCCACCCTGTCGCTCGGGTCAAATCAAGCAGTTCTTGCATATCTTCTGAGAAGAACAGACGAAATTGATAGACACTGCTTAGTGGAGCACACTCTGAAGGTATGCCCCCCGACCCCTGCAATTTCCACAGGGATCTTCCAACCCACAGCGATCCATCCGTCGCCGTAAACGGCAGGACGGAAAAACGACGCCTAGGCCTCCATGCCCTCACTCGTGGAGACCCTTGCGATCTGCTTGAAGCACCTGGTGAGCGACTGCTTGGAGGCGGAGAGGATGAAGGCCTTGGTGCAGAAGATGATGCCATCAGCACCTCGGTGAAAAAACTATGCGACCATGCCGCCATGCCGTTCGTGAAAAGACTGTGCGACCAACCACCCAAACATGCGGAACATGGTGGACCACGGTGGAATATTGGCCTTACATCATGGCCTTGGAAAGGAAGACTGTTTTAGCCCATGTAACCATGATTGCATGTCGGGAGGTTCTTGTCGAACCGACCTCGGGAGTCGAGGAGTTGTTTGTCTAACTGGACAAACACGAAGTGGTGGTGTCAGTGTTTCCAGGCCATGGGTCATGGGTGTATATTATATACAACACAAACATAGCAATCCAATTAATCATCTATCATGTAGATGTCTGGTGAATGCCATTAGCCAGATCTGCTGTTGATTGATCCAGACGTACAAGCCTTGCCCTTGAACCTACCAAGAACATCCAATACACAACAATTTCACCAAATAGAAAAACATCCAAAAACGTTCAAAGTCCCACCAAAGGCCTACCAAATAGAAATTGTTTTTTCCACCGTCTTCCAACCTGTTTCAGTCTCACTCCCCCAGGCTTCACGCTTCGGTCGAACACCCGGGCGAAGCCCGGCTTTCCTTCTCCGGTCGCCCCGTTGGTTTCACCAGGAGAGTTCATCGAGTCCATCAGAGCTCCAGAGCTGGACGGAGCTGTTGGAGGCCCAGTGGACGCGGCAGGATCGCGGGACCGGATCTTCGCAATTTTGCCAGGTCTATTTAAAGGAAAAGAGTCTAATAGAGGTAGAGAGTTTGAAACATTTGCATATCTTCGCCTTATCCTACCATTTTTGTGCCACAAAAGTGGGGGGTTCCACTGGAGGTTTCTCAAGCTATTTTGGAACTTCATTCAAAAAGCCCTTTGAGTTATGACTTTAAAGTGGCACTCAACAGTAGCAGCGAAGGGGAGCATTGCTTATGGGGTTTTCATGGGGTGCAAGTGGATGATGAGCAATTTCTTTTGTCTAACGAAAGAAAGTGCATTGAACAAACAGCAGTATTCTAGCTTAAGCGCAGATAGATACGACGCATGTCGGAGCGTACAGGGCGTTGGCATCTTTGTTTTCAGCACTGAAGCTTCCTTTGCAGGGTATCATTATGGATGGCAAGATCTGCAAGCAGTGGGATGAAGTGGAAATGATGATCGCCGGCAGCGGGAAGGACTGATTGACACATCTAGCATAATCTGGCATTCGGAAGGTACGATGATCAGTTATCTACAGCAAACTCTCCTTTTGTGATTCTTTCAGAACATCCTAAAAGGACAACTAGGTGACTCGATAGATGCTGAGCACCAACCTGAGCAGCAACCTGGATTCACGGATGGCTCCTTTTCGCATAGGAGAGATTGCAGCTTCGTGAGATCCAAGATGCCCTTGGGCAGATGCTGGGATAGCACCGTTGAGGTGGAACATCTTCACCTGTTTCGTTGGTTTCTTCACTAAACTGGAACAATCAGGAACAGGAGAAGGGTTAACCATTGTCTTGCAGTTTTCGTGTCACGGACGGGGTCAGTCTAGAAGACGAGACGTCAGGCTTTTCTCCGATGGGCAAACGTGTTCGTGGCAGTCATCAAGCAAACACTTGATGCGAGTATTCCATGAATTGCATGTGTGCAGAGTTTCAATGCGTGCCCTTCAGCTGACCGGCGTATCTCAAACGGTCTTTGGTGATCTCAGTTCCTTTGTTTGTTCCATCAGCCCCCCTGAGCTTGAGAGAGCTCCACATGAAGCTCTCCCCGTGCAGTTGGTGAAACGTGGCGCCAGTTGAGGAGTTGGTTGTCTATCCTTTTGGCCAGAAGCCAAAAGCTTTCTTGGATGGGTGGTCGAGCGATCCGAGCCCATCCAGCCCGTGTCCGGGCCGCCTTGCGCGAGTTGGGCTTGAAGATGGAGAAGGCTGGAATTCCCATGGCGAAGGCCAGGCGGAGAACCGGATTCTCATGAATTCTCATGTGGGCTATGAGACTAGGAGCTTGAGCTATGAGGTCACCTCATTGCAGCCAGAGGAGGAACCTCCTGTTCCGCAGGTGCAAGGCTGGGCTCGTGGCTCGATTTGCGTCTAGAGATGTCACGTGGCTCGTTTTGGAGTGACGTGCCTACAGGCCCAAAGCCACGTTCGCGCTCCCGATCGACCAAAGTCGAGGCCCCAGAAGTGAATCATCTTTCGTGACTTGGGAGAGTTCTGATGCTTTTTTGGGTCGTTCAGGATGGTGTCATCACTGTGTCCAACTGCAGTGATCCACGCTTGGGCCTCACCTTGGAGGGTCAGTACGCGAGAGATGGCACTAACCACAACAAGGCCGTGTACCGCCGCATCGAAGCGGATCCCAAAGGGTCCCATCTCCCGATCAAGCTCTACTATTGGGACGACCGTGATGGCAAGGAGAATCAGGGATGGTGGTTTGGTCCGACCGTCGGCGGTGAAGAGGTCGAGTCCTGAGACCTTTGTGAGTTCCAAACCAATTGTTTGATGTTGCGTGACGAGTCGACTGTGCTCGTGCGGAAGTTGTGGGCTCAGGTGTGGCTGCACAACCCAAGGGCCTTGCACTTTCCGCCAGCAGATGGATGGGACTTTTCCCTGAAGGTTGCATTGAACCACCGCGCCCCCGCAGCTCCAAAGGGCAAAGCAAAGGCGAAAGCAACGGCCCCACCAGCAGCCGCTAGCAGCGCAGCACCAAGCACAGTTGACCCACCTGCCAAAGCAGCTAAGAAGGCAAGACTCAGTGAGGAGAGCGAGGAGGATGGCTTTCCTGAGTTGACGAGGTGGCTGAGGTCTTTAGCGCCAAGCAATCCACACCAGCTGATGAAGTACTACTCGGCCCTTGTCACCCACTTCGAAGGTGACTTGCAGCAGATCGCTGCGGCCAAGATCGGTGACGCCGAGAGGCCGCGCTGAATGCAAAACTCCGGGTTTGATGTTGCTGGGCGTTGTGTTCACACCCCTTGAAATAATAATGGAAGTGGAAAACCACCGGTTTCTGGTGGAAAATTGTCATCCTTTCGGCCACGCCGTCCAATTTCCTGATTGTTTTGGGGAGCTTCTTTTGCCTTCTGGCTTGGAACCCTTGAGATTCATTTGCTTTGAGCTTGTGCTGCCAGGGATGGAGTGAAGCGAGTGGAACCGGCGTTCTGGGAGGCCATTGGTTGCACCAAAGCTGGTGACAAGCTCCGATTGGCAAAAGGAATTGCCCAACTTCCAGACTAGGTGCTTCCACTGCCGTGTGCAGATGAAGCATGTAGTTTCACTTGATAGATCTTGAAAGGCCGAGGCCGCGCAGCCGAGAAAAGATCGGAAAAAGAGCTGTGAGGCTTTTAAAGTTGGATTTGATAACTTAGGCGCTTGCGCCTTGACTCGCTTGACTGCTTGTCAGTTTTGGAGCTTGCTGCGGAAGAACAGCTAGACCAATACGCCATCTTCTATCTTTCGAGCGAAGGCGATTTGGAAGAAGGCAGCACCTGTATTGACAGACTATAACCTGACAAAGGCGGACATGCGGATTGACGTAATTTATGCTTTGCCGGTTGTTCTGGCATCAAGTCCGGTGTGTGGTCAAGGCGCTTACTGTGGAGGCCCGGTAGTGCCCACTGCAATCTGGCGCTTACTGTGCAGGGCCGGCATTGCCCACTGCGATCTGGTGCTTGCTGTGGTTGGGAGTGCCGCCTTGCAGTTGAGGTCTGGGAGTGCCGACTGCGATCTGGAGCTGGTAGTGCCCACTGGGGATCTGGCACTTGCTGTTCACGTCCGGTACTGCCACTGCAATCTGGTGCTTGCTGTCGAGGTGAGGTAGAGCCGGCTGTGATCTGGAGCTTGCAGTGCGATCTGGAGCTTGTTGTTGAGGTCCGGTATAGTGCCCACTGGGATCCACGGCGATGTGGTGATGTGGCGCTTGCTGTGTTGTGGCCCGGTGGCGGGATTGCTGTTGAGGTGCGGTAGTGCTTGCTGTTGCGGTGGGGCAGTGAGTGCTGGGTTCAGGGAGCTAAGAGTTGACAGGAATAGCGCGTTAACTAGGTGGAAGCACGAAAAACAAGGAGCAAAGATGCGAGGCTAAGCACCAATTCTTTTGATGTCTGCAGTATTTCGCACCTTTTCCTGTGTAGGTCTGTTGGCGTGCAAGTTTTTGAAAATTGAGGTTTTGGTTGCGAACTCGTTTCGCCCCCATCACTTCCCCCTTCACCTTAATTTGCTTTCGGTGGCTTCAGCTTTATGTTCGGAGTGTATTTCAGTCGGGCGTTTCTGGCCCCGGCCTTGCCATCCGCTGAAGGGATATATAAGTTGTATAATGTTATATATATAT